CTAATTGACCAGCTTCATTGCTGGTATCATTCCGCCCTGCTCACTGGCATCGCAGGACGAATTAAACTGGTTCTATTTATTTAGCACTTCCTTCATTAACTTCCCATAATGATTTTAATCAGAGCTTTAACCTGCTGTCATATACATGTTTTGGTTTAAGCCCTTTCAATCTAGACTGTAATCTAATCTACTCACGCCTTTTGCAATGAGATGTTCAGTGAGGCAGAGGACACCTTCCGACCCTTTTCCCTCCCACAGCCACAAAACGTGAGAGGAGTCCTGCACCTATGGGAATCATGGACATTGTCTAATGGTCTTTGATTTAGAAATTCTGACTTTGCCTTGCTGCTTGGCAAGACCAGCAGAAAACATAGTTTTTTAGTGCCTGAAACAGTGTTCAAACCAAAGGCTAAAGCTTTCTCTGGAAGGAAGCCAGGGTTTTTTTCCTCATTTTTCACTTGGAATCTGCAAAGGCACCCAGAGATTATCTCATAGGTTCACCAGTGTAGCATGGTTGCAAACATAAACAGATAAGTAGTTGCTGGCTACTCTGTATTGACATTGCACAGATCCAAAGGAGGACATAACAAAAGGCAGTGGTGAAGCAGGTGCAAATTTCTTAGTTTCTTTGTGAAATTAAATGTTTCTGTCCACCACTGCACTCATTCAGTCTGTATCTTCTCTTTATTCATGTGGTGGAGCGTGATTTGCCCTCAGATCTGCTCCTGCACCTTACAAAGGAAACGAACCAAAGTTTCGCTGAAGGACGTCACAGGGACAATTTTGAAGTGCTTCTTTCCCAGGCTTACTGGGTAAGTGTCAGGAAAAGTAGTGGAATTATCTGAGGAATAGTTATTGAAGCAATGGGTCTTTTTTCTTCTTTTTCTTGCTTTCCTGACTAGCAGGACATCACCTGCAGAGTGCAGATTGTTGCAGAGCCCAAGTTTGACTGCCAAGGTTTCAAGTGACTTGTCACTTGACATTACTCAGGCTTCCCCCGTACTTAGTGGGGAGGGACAAGAATTTCTGCAAGACACTTCATCCTGTCTCAGGTGCTTACCTTACCAGAACCGGTATCATCCTCAAAACATAACAATTTTGCTTTCATTGACGGTGGAGACAGGCAACAAGCTCAGCTGAAACACCCAGCTTTTAAATAGGGAAGGTTTGATGAGATGTGTTCTGCCCATGTTCCCATATTCTGAAATTCTGTGTAATCAACGCTGCAGAAATCCTCATTTGCCTGTGGATTGGTTGTTTGTCACATAATGAACACCGCAACATTTCTACCAGAAGTTATACTTAAATCATGGTGTTCCTTTTTCCAGACTTTGAGGTGGCCCTAGGGGATCACAAGAGCAGTAAGACTCACAAAGGTTGTTCAAATATTTTGTGTGTGTGTTTTTAAGCAGTTCCCAAACCCTCCTTCGTAGTTTATGGATGAAGAGGTGTGTCATTATTGTAATGTAAGTATGTGGTTGGTTTCAAGCAGCCCAGCATTTTGAAACACATTTATTAAATTGTTCTGGTCAAGAGCACTCTTCCTGTTCCGTTTACCAGCTCATGATTTCTAACCTTAGGATTTCGGTTGATTTTCTTTTATAATTCAGGTTTTCGTTGATTTGTCTACGTTGGTGTATAAGCTCCTTCAGTGCTGATGTTGTACGAATTCACATCCCCTTCGGCGTCCGTAGCACAAAGATCTGCCACATCTGCCTCTGTCCTCATGTTTTGAAAGCTTTTCCTAGAACTTTCCTAGTCTAACCGTGAGCGGTCTACCTCTCTTCTGCATTTTAAACACATGCTCATCTTCCGAAAAAAAAAAAAATTAACAAGTTGTCTGTAATCTGGCTAAGAAACTGTTTACCTTTGCGGTGGCCAGTGAATTTACCTCTAAAATATGAAGAAACCTTGCAACTGGGTAGTCTGGGAGACAAGGCATGGGTCTGGATGATTTTTAAAAGTACTTTTCAATGTATCTGTTGATTTTTCCCCTGAAAATTGCAGGATGGTCGTGTTCAAATCTTAATTCCAACTTCGGATGAGGGTTGCTGATTTCACAAGAAAGACACCATATCTAGCAAAGTTAAGGAAGGACGGAAAGAAAACCTGCATATGAAAGGAGATGGCAATTATGATTAACATTTGACCAACCAGCATTATGTCAACCAGTAAAAGCAGAGGTTAAATAAATGAAGCCAGCATAATTCCTGATGGCATTCTAATGTATTTAATGGAACGTTACCAGCAATGAATCTTGCCAAATAAGTGCTAAGATGAAAGAAATATTTGTTTTGTAATTTTCATTTCATGCAGTGTGAGAATTTGAATCAACGAATGAACAGAAACATGAAGCCAAACTGTTTCATCATTTTGAGGTGAACTAGGTGTGATAAATGTGGGCTGGTGTTAATGGGAGTTTCAGCTTCTTCAGGCAGTTTGAGGAAATGTATAAAAAGTCCCTCCTGAAAACTGCCCTCTGTTTACTTCTCTTGCCTTCATGTTCCCAAAGCCAGCTATTCTAGGTATTCAGCTGTTCTTTCTGTGTACATTTAAATTCGTCCTCTTCCGTCATTTGTGAGGAGGCAATGTTATATGCACTTTTTAAGGACCAAGCTGGTATTTTCTATAATGAATTGTACAGGAGCTGTCAGCTCACCACTAGTTCAAACCTGAGTGTTATAATCTGCTACACAAACACCAAAAACCCAGACCGTAGTCAGGCAAACTGCTTTGTACTCCTGCACCACAAAGGCCTCAGTCACAGCCAGCTTTAACAGAGGAGATGTCCTCTTCAGAGTTAATTACTTGGTCTTCCACTCGCTGTTTCAAATTAGTTTGTATGGAAGAAAGCCAAAGCTTGAAAGGGATGTAAGCAAAGCTTCCCTACTCTCAGCGAAAAGAGCCCCCCCGGGTGTTAGGAATCAGGTGAGCCTTTGGACAGTTCTTTCAATAGTGCAGAGCATCAGGGCTTTTACACTAAACTTCAGACGACATAGAACTGACTTTTATCAGAGAAAAGGTATAGGAGAAGAGCAACCATTTGTCTGAGGAAGCAAATGATCTTCTATATTCCCGTGTTTCCACTAAGCAACGATTAGCCATCACTTAAAAATATTTTTTCTTACGGGGCTTACACAGATTTGAGGAACTACATCCACAGCAGCAAGTGGATCTTGGTGGGGTAACTACAATTAGGCGGGATGGATCTGGAAATAAAGTAGCGTTGCAGAGGATCCAGACAGCTGTGCCTTTCCTATTCCCATGAGATCTAAGCTCTTCTTCCTGTTCCAAGGGAATTTTTGCTGTGTTATGCTCCGGTTGGCCAATTCATCTCCAGCACCAGTGCCAATAGCTGCAAGCAGCTGGCTGCCCTGACCCGAGGGCAGTGGCTCATCTGCCATCCATCATCATCACCTTGCCAGCCCAGAGGCTTAGTTCCTTCCTTCAGGACAGCATACCGGGATCTTTGTCAGTACCCATACTTAAGGGCTCCTTTTGTTGTAGGAGCTTTTGTTGTGGTAGTCTTTACCAGAACAGATTTTCTTTCAGATTTTCAGGTCCTGGCAAAAAGTACAAAATCCCTTCTGGCTGTTGTTTCAATACTGGATACTACTGTGGAAGCTAGGTGCCTTGCTGGAAGAGGTATTCAATTTATCAGAGACAACTAAATCAAAACAAATTAAAGGGAGATTTATAGCTGACTTTTCAGGTACTGAGTGCTGAGAAGTGTGCTGTATGCACAAAGAGTGGAGATGCCTGTGCGCAGCAGCTCTTGCCTTTCTTTCCTCATATTCTGCCTTCGGTTTCTGGTCTGATGTTCTCTGAACACTGTTGTATTATGCTTAGCCAGACTTCTTACTGCAGCAAAATATGTAGCCTAAGATCTTTTGGCAGCTGAACCACATAAAGAAAACTATCTTGTGAGATAAGCATCTGCCTGAATCCAGAGATGGTTACATGCTTTACTGACAACCTAACAAGTTATACCAGTAGCTTTAAAGTATTTTTGTTCTACCTATACAATATTTACACAAATTCTATTTATATTTAATATATACACAACTTGAACAGAACCAAAGAACTCCCAGACCCAGGAATTCAATCAGATATACTGTGAAACTATGCACATAGTCCCTACTGTGGGTTTGAGGAAGTGTCATCTGCACCCAGCCCAAATTTTGGAGAGTGAGAGAATTTAATAGGAGGGATCTAGGCTGGTCTGTGCTAGAGAAACAAAGAATCTGAAATTAATTTTGTATCAGTCACCAATATTCCATTAAGAGCTGTGGTGGCGAAGTTATTTGTACGGCATGGAATTAGCAGTCTGCAGTGGAAGAAGCAAGAGCTTAACTTTCAGAGTGTGACCAGTCACTTGTAGTTCACAGAATTATCTCACAAACTGATGAGTGGAGACTCTAATAAAGTAATGTGTAGACAAGACTGCTGTTCATCTATAACCAGTGTGTTGCGACCATGTTGTTGCAATTCAGTGGTGAAACAGGCCTAACAAGGGCTCCTCGTGGAGACTTTCACTATGTGGGCAGGGTTTGCGCAATATTATTGCAGCCAGATGTGCAACAGGCAGCTTTATCCAGAAAAGCTGGCAAATTCAGAATGGACGAGAACACAAAACCACAACACGCTTATTTTGAATGATGCAACAGAACTTTAATGAGAATGAAAGGAACAAAAATGTATTGCAGTATCAAGAATGCATATCCAAGATGTCAGAGTCCAATGCATTTTGACAGACGCTGTTAAGTGTCTCACTGCATTCAGGCACAAGTATGATAAAGTAGAAGATAACATGGAAATGAACTGATGAAGATAGGAGGAAAGAATTCAAAGGGAAAAAAGGAGAGGTGTGGAGCATGGAGAATGCACTGCACTGAACAGGATTTATGAGTGCTTTCACAAAGCTGTCACTCATCTGCTCACCAGTGAATCCGCATTTGGTTTTTCACTTGTACATTTTTCAGTGGGTTTTCCTGTTGCATTTAGCAGGGCCCACAGCTGCCACGGAGGTACCTGTTGCTCCAGTAGGAGTAAGGGTTGCAATAGCTAGATCCATAGGGTCTACCATAGCCATACAGGCCCCCGTAACCCAGGGAGCCCCCATAGCCATACAAACCCCCATAGCCCCCATAGCCCCCATAACCACTGAGGCCTCCGTAGCCCCCATAGCCATAGCCTCCATAGCCCCCAAGGACGGGTGCTGATGGGTGCGGGGAAGTTGACGACGACTGGAGGCGGCTGGATCACAGTCGTGGATTCGGGGCCCGCACGGACGCACGGCTCATTGCAGCTGTCAGCGAGGGGCTGAGGGCGGTAGATGCCGCAGGCAGAGGTGGAGCACAGGTCGTAGCAAGCCATCTTCCAAGGATGGAGGTAAGCTGCAGCACACACTGATGAGTAAACGAAAGGCACAAATTCAGTGGGAAAAAGAGTATGAAAGTTGGACACATGGACTAGAATGATGGCTTTATCTTTCAGGTCTCGATTGTCCTGATTTCTCTTCAGTATTTTTCATGAGGCATCTCTCCCTCTTGTAAATCAGCTTTGCCCAGATTGCACCCCTCTGCTGTGGTCTCCTTTCTAATTTTTTATACGTGGTTCTCTTTCAGAAGTAGTTCTTTGTTCTACCCCACTGCCAAACACTGCAGAAATATTATCCAGCTCTTTACTTTGTAAATTCCTTCCATTATACTTTGCAGCCACTGTTACAATATCTGTATCTAAAAGGTCGTTTCATGTTGCTTTTATACTAGCAAAAACAAAGCAGAGTAACCTGACAACCAGCAAAGCTCATGTGGTACATTGCTGGGTAGCTGGAAGAACAACTCTTGTATATTGACTTGTAACGTGCTTCCAGAAGCAATAGCTAAAATCACGCTGCCAGTACACTGAACCTCCTACAAACATGGATTAAATAAGATATTCCCTGCCCTGAAGTGCTTGCAAAGTAGCTTGAGAGTCACATGGTGGGTTAAAAGATTGTTTGTTTGATTTCCAAGTTGGGAAATTGGTACATTCAGATGACTAGGACTAGGTTTCTACTGCAGATAGGTATGCTGAGATATGAGCTCTTTGGAGAGATGGTCGCCATATGACATGTTCCAATCTAAAAGAAAACCCATGGAAGGACTAGGAATTAGTATTGCCTGTGAACAATTTTTTTCCCCACTAGAACTAATAAAATATTGCATCAGAAGGGACTTCTGGAGGTCATCTAGTCCACTTCCCTGCTCAAAGGAAGGACAATGTAAAAGGTAGGTTAGGATATCCTAGTTTCATCTCTGGTTTCCAATACTTTTTTAGACAATACTTCTATATTCTTTCTGAGCCTGTTCCTTCAACAAATATGTACATATACATAGACATATAGAAAAAAGTTACATGTAAAACCCTTAAATAATTCCTAGTGATTGAACAAGCCTTCTGCTGACGTTTTGGAAGCTGCTTCAATAGCTCAAATTTGTGTTAACAGGAAACAATAATAATTTTTGAAAAATGTAGTTTTACCAATTCAAACCCAAAGACATGGATGTTCAACACTAAATTAGACAAATTCATGGCAAAATAATCCAACATTATTAAGAATCTTAGAATACTTATGGATTATTCAGACCTTATTTAAAAATGGTGGAAAAGAGATACTCGAGATTTTGGAAAGAGATCGCACAGAATGATACTTACCCTTTTTGCAGAGGAGAATAAAGCAAGCAAGGCGGAATGAAGAGCCCTGAGTTGGGAGAGCTTTTATACAGTTCACTAGATCACGGGGATCACCTAAGGTGCAATTTGTGCATGTGCGTAATTGGGACAAACCCAAAACTAATATGACACGTAGGTCCTCAAATTTTTGCTGACTATTTGTTTATTTGTTGGTTCGAAGTCTCATGAAATATGATAGGTGCATTTCATCACAGAAGCCTCTTTCATCTCTAATGGTTACATGTCCTATTCATTCCTGTTATCATTCCATTCACATCCTTGGCGTTACAACAAGAATTATACTAAGGAGCTTCCTTAGCTTCTCCATTATTAATCGCAAAACCCAGCAGCTCACTGCATGGCTGTCATCACCTGGTGAGAACAGATTTTTCCATTGAATCCAGGCTGCAAAATACCTGGAGATATAATGGAGTTCATTAGAGCAACTTTGAGGTCGTTGTTTTTATCTTTATCGTTTGCACTCTCAGCTACTTCTTGTGAAACCAATACCGCACCAAAAGGAAGCCGTAGAAAACATCTTGTGGTCCTTAAATGGTTTTCTTTTGTTTGACTTTTGCTCCTGAAAACAATGCTGGCCTTATCTAAAGGACAAGGGA